GAACTTGAAGAATTTCTTTTCAGCCCTATGGCAGGCGAAGAATAACTGATCAGAATGGAAGTGCCCGGGTTTCTAGGTCAACTCCGAGGCAAATACTCTGGAAATGTGAGGAAATGAACTTCCTTACGCCTTTTACATTTTAGAAATGCACGTGGTTCACGCAATAGGTAGGAACTACCTACCTGTAGGCAAATTTTCAGAAGGTGAAGCACAAAAATGGAATGAATAAGCAAGAGAAAATGCATGTACAACGGAACATTTATGACAAGTTCGACTCGATCAAGCTTATGAACGAGCCCAGAACCCGAAGAGTTCGGATTAGGTGAGGAATGAGGTCAAGGTTTTAACGCTAAAGTCAGGTGGATATGGGGTCAAACTCGTTGCGCGTCTAGTCGCCTTCATATTCAGTTAGCAACTGGCCAAAATGCTATGTAATCGACTAGTCAGATCGTTGAGTACCCTCTTTACCCTCTGCCACTGTGGTGTTGTTAACGCCTGTCGTAATTGCCGGTGCGATCCGCTAATACGGCAAACCGGCTGCTTTGGCAGAAAGCCTCAAGTACCGATGCATAACGCTATAATCGTTGATCGACAGTTCTCTGAAGAATACTGCAGCCGCGTACGTTAATGTAGAGACCAGACACGAGTGTCAGAACGGCTAACAAAGACAAATGAACACACCCAATTACCGTAATCGTATACTGTAAAAGAATGCTTTCGTGCCGTTGGCGTACAATGCCAAACGTGGGCTGGGTTGACCATGCTCAGCCGACGTCAAGAGATATTCCAAGGTATTGGATAATCCAGCATATTGAATGAATTATTGCCTTTGCCTCCAGGTCATATACCTCTGTTCTACGGCTGATGCCAACCCCTATCGTACATATTCCAAAAAGCGCTGGTGCACAGAGGCTTCGGGGCTCGAATTTCAAAAAATTCTCTTTACCCGCAAATTCATTTCAGTAAAGAATTCATTACTCCTTGTTCCTACGCAGCCATCCAAAAAACGGGGGGGGGCGGTGGGCAAGCCGTTGTCCT